CGCGACTACGGCAATGTGGTTTCCTCATCGGAGTCATGCTCCTCGGATGCGTAACTTTCCGCATGGGTCGTGGCGACACGGCTGCGGCACGAGGAGGAGCGGGGATTAGCCCTGCCTGTTAGCCTACCCCAGTCCCCCCCCGCAAGGCGGGAGGGGTCCGGGGCGTTTTCCGGCTCACACCACGAGGAGGTAGGCATAGGCGCTTCGGGCGAGGTCTGCTCTCAAACGAATACTCACTTGACACTCGCCCGTTCGTGAGCCAGTAGATAGGGACAGAGGGAATCTCGTTAATCCATTCATGCGCGTCACTAATTAGATGACGAGGCATTTGGCTATTTTTTTTTTTTTTTTAATTTTCGCGACTTTTGCCGGCCGGGAGGTGAGATGGCCGGCGGGCGCGCGTCCGCCCAGTGGGCCGAAGCCCAACTGGGATAAACCCAGTAAATCCCCGGGGTCCCTCAACCCACGCCAACCCTATCCCGCCCGCCACGCCACCGCACCGCCGTCATCCTGTTCCATCTTGTCCAATTCGTATGGCTTCCCTGCAGCACACGCGTGGTGATGCTGCGAAAGAAGCCCCGACCCAGGCCCATCCCCTGGAGAGCGTCAGCCGATGTACTCGACCAGACGCCCCTCCAGGAGAGTGTACACGACGCGAATGCAACTTGATCTGCGGCCACCCGATACTTGCGCCTCAGCGCGTCCACGAGGGATTGGTTACCCCCGTAGTACGCGAGCTTGCGCGCGTCGGCTTCGTCAAGCGGGGCGGAGCCAGATACGATCTGGACATCCACCACGCTGACTCCGTCGGCGCGCGCGCACACAAGATCGAGTTTTCGCAGACCCTCCTCGGTCTGATAGCGTGGTTCCTCCTCAACCCGCCATCCCTTATCCCTCAGGCCGGCCGCCAACGTCCGGGAGACCGCGTTGTGGCGTAAAACGCGACCGCCATGGGTACGAAAGCAGCCCTGGATAATATGGGCTGCTGTCTCCCAGACGTTGCAGCCGGCCCGGCAGCGGATGTTGCGCTGCTCGCGCTGTCGACCCCTTGTGGTCCTGACACGGGACGGTAGGCAGTTAATGTACGTATGTACGTACTGCACATAGTCCCGGCCAGGAACCGCCAAGGAGCCCGGGTCTACCCACCACGACGATAGGGCCGTCCGGGGAACCTCACGCAACTCCCACCCGTCCGAAGACGAGTGGAGCGCGCGGGCCCACCACCTCGCCCTGCGATACCGGGAGGAGAGAACCTCACCCTCGCGGGTGAGAGCCCTCTCCGCCCAGCGCAGGCGCATGCGGACCCATAATGAGTCCGCAGCAGCCCGAACCGCGGGCGAGGTGGACTCGTGAAGCGAGCCCAGACGGTCCATCATCATGCCGGGCACCACCGTAGACAGCGCGGGGATGCCGAGTCCTCCCGACGCCACATTGGCGTGGAAGAACCCTAAAGGGATGTCGTGCGGAAGACGAAGCCAACGCCGGACAGCCGCCCTAACCGCGCAGTCCAGTGCCCGAAGCTTCCCCAGCGTGACTCTACCAAGCACAAACGCGTGGTAGAGTCGCGGCAGAAGATACGTACGTAGTACCTTGAGCCGCTGCTGGGGTTTCAACGGTGCATTGGTGATGGTCGCCAGGTACACGGACAAGTCGCCGCCCACCCGCCGCGGCCCCGGGGGTGCAAAATCCACTCCCAGGTAGCGCCAACCAGCCTCAGATGATAACTGAGGCAGGTGGGTGCCACCTGCGAGGGTGAAGGTGGGATCGGTGACGATCCTCACCTTCTTCTGCCTCCCCGAGGGCACGACGGACAGAACGGCGCACTTCCGCGCATTAAAGCGCAGTCCGTGCTGAGCCGCCCTCTCCTCCACCGCCCGCAACGCCTCCTGCATCCCCCACTTGGTGGAGGAAAAGAGCAGGAGGTCGTCCGCGTAGACGAGTGCACTGACGCGCTCGCCGCCGAGATCGAAACCGACGTCCCGCGGGACAGCTCGCAGGACGTCGTCGACGACGAGGCAGAACAGTAGAGGAGAGAGCGGGTCGCCCTGACGAACACCTCTCCGCACCGGAAACAGCTCCGAGCGGACTCCCCGAACCTCGAACATAGTGGTCCCCTGTTGATACAGGCGGACCACATACCGACAAAAGGCATCAGGCAGACCGGCCCGTCGGCAGGCACCCTCGATAGCGTGATGACTCACGCTATCGAAAGCCTTGGCCACGTCGAGGGAGGCGACATGGAGTTCACGCAGATGGTATCGTGACTCGTGGAGGACCGAAGCCAGCACAGCGACGTTCTTCGCACAACCGTCGGAGAAACATCGCTGGCGGAGGTCCACCAAGTCGCACTCCCTCATCCGTGACGCAAGGATCTTGTGTAGGTGCCTGACGACAACCGAGCCCACGCTGATGGGCCTAAAGTCGGCAGCCGACGGGTCCTGCACACCTTTCTTCGGAAGGAAGACGGTGCGACCCGGCAGCGTCGAGGCCGAGAAGCCACCACTGGACATTGCGATATTGAAGACCAGGGCCTTCACAGACGCCGGGACAGTACGCCATGCACCAGAGGTCACCCCGTCAGGACCGGCGGCCGAGGCAAGGGGGACGGAGACAGCCGTCGCCTCCTCACACGACACCGGACCCCAAACGCCGGCCAAAGCCGGCGCCGGGGGCACGGGCGCGATCGGATTCTGTGGAAGCGACGGCTGGCCCACGAAGGGACCCCAGTGCCGGGCCATTTCCCGGACATCTGGGATCCCCGTCTCATCCCCCTCGCCGTCCAAGATGTTGTGGACGGCTCGCGTCATGTCCTTCCGGAATAACCACTGCGTGCGGGCGTACTCCAAGCGTCTGCGATGCCTCCGGCTTGCAGGCGGCTGCTCATCCCGAGGTCGCGGAGGCGGTGGAGGAGCAACCGGGAATGTGTCCTCAATCCAGCGCGCGATACCATCCGAGACGTCGGCCCCCGCCAAGGCCCGCTCGGCGAGGGCGATCAGAGAGTCATGGTTCCAGCCCCCGGCATTCCCCACGACCGGCATGAGTTGCCGTATCGCAGTGGGAATGTCCGGGGCTAGACCAGACCAACGCCCGGAGGATCGCGCGCGAGACGACGACGGAGGAGGGGAGGCCGATGTCTCCGAGGCAGAACGATAGTCGCTTCCCTGGGAGGAAGACGAAGCCGCTTCGCCGATGTCGGCAAGGGCGGCGACGACGAGCCGACGATAGTCAGCCCGCCGACGCGCACCCTTGATGCCATGAAGCGTGCGGCCCGGCACCACCGTAAGAAGATGCCGGTTCATGAACCGGACATCTCCCCGGTGGGCCGCTATCGCCTCCTCACGAGCCATCAGCCTCAACTCCTCCTGACTCCAAACCCGGTGAACACGCTCCACAACAACCTCCTGGTCGACAATCGCGCCGTGGGCGTGCCTCCGATGCACGCCCAGGCCTATACGGGTCGGAAACGATCTTGGACAGTCCGGACACAGGAAGACGGGGGGCGGAACGGCGGCGGCGGGGGGCGGGGAAGCGGGGGGTGAGGGACCGCGGGGATGTACGGCAGGACCGGCGGGCCGAGGCCCCCGCCGGAGATCGTATCTTCCTTGTCGATTGGTGCCTGCCGGGTGCGGTCCCGCCGGGCTGGCAACCCGACGGGACCGGGGGGGTGGGTCTCCCCAACCCCCCAAGCCAGAGCCCCGTTTGCCGCCAGCCATAAAAACGGCTGGCGTTGCCCGACTCTCACCGCGAGGAGGTGGGGATGGCACATGGCGGCAGGAGCAGGCTCTGTACCGCCTTAAGAGAGTCCTTAATTCCTAGATATTTAATACTCCAGATTGCACTCTAAACGACTTCAATCCACCCAGATTTGAGTATATAATCCCCAATCTAGCAATACTGAACCTCATCATGAGGCGATTTACATGATTGGTCCAAATTCTGTACCAGGAACCTGATTCATCATTATATGTTAGAGGGGTAAATAGCAGTTTATAAGTTATTCTATTACTTTTCATAATTCAGTTTTCTTGTAGATTTTATCGATAGACAGGAATTTAGAGACAGAGTGTAATGCTGCGGTGCGGAAGCTACTGAGGAGAGGGTGACAAGGTATTTGGTGCCTGACTTGGAATGGCTAATGTTCCGTGCAAGCGCAATGTGATAGGTCCCTACCTAACATTTTATTTTAAGTAATATTAAGGAAAGAAACTCTAAGCAGCGCGTCTCGTACTCCAAAACGCTTCTAGAGACACACTCTCCCTCGTTTTTTAACTCCCCTTGTTTCCGTGCGTACTTCCGCATCCCAAACCAGATAACAGTCCTGGGAAAGGCAAACATTTGGATTCTCTGGAAAAGACGACTTTCCACCTGTTCCCAAAATAATCACACGAGACATTACCCTTCTCGATCTTAAAAACCCACCAATAAGCATCCTTCTCTACGTCTAGGAACACTCCGGTTTAGTATAAAAAGGCCCGCTCTCTCTTACCAGCGAAGTTTGAACTGTCTCAACTCTGTAACCTGCGTGCGAGGCACCTGTAACTCTGGGCATTCGCCCAGGACTATTCAGTCCCCTAAGTCATCTGGGCATTCGCCCGACAGGACTATTCAGTCCCCTAAGTCAACGAGTCTACGAGTCATTCCTGTAAACCACGAGGCACCCGAAAATAAAGTATCTTTATTACTTTACTCGAAGAGGTCTTTGGCTGGTTTCAACCATCTGAAAGCGAGTCCCTAAAACGACCCACGAGGCCCGGTCCGATCGATATCTTCAGGCAACCGTTATCGCTGCTCCTTAGCAAACGATCCCCGACCTAACAAATGATGTAGAAATGCATTCGAAGGAGGTTATGATAAACGTGGTAAATAGTTATGTATTTTTGTGAGGTTATAAAAAACGTTTTTATAAAAAAAAAATTGTGCACCGTATTGTATCGTTCTGTAAGAATAGGTAAGATTTTCAAAATCGGTAAAAAAAGAGTTTGGAAGTAATAATGCGAAAATTACATTTTACAAGTATTAAAATTATTTATCGTATTTACAAATTATAATTAGCGGTACTGAGCATGCGTACAAATTTAACCAATTCGATTCAAGCACCAAACCCCCCCGCAATTTGGGTTCACCCCCTTGTCTAAGATTGTACTTTATGCTATGTCACTGTATTCCTATGCTTATGATTTTATCACGTTGAGAAGACCAGAAATTAGAACCACAGGAATCGACTACAGATGAATTTTTAACAAATTGCACATTACCAACCTTGCCTACTTCGTTAAATCTTTTTGCTTGGATCATTTAATGTTTTTTCCTAAAAAGCATTTGAGAATGATCTTTAATGCCATAAATTTAACATTTAGACGAGTAATAGTTGACGAAAATGCTTTATTGAAAACTGCTCATAGCCCACTGAGAGACTTCAGTTGGTAATCCTGGATAACTTTTTACTGCATTCATGACTTGTTGCGGACTCAAGAGAAATTTATAAAGTTGATATTCCTTTTCTGTTCTTGTGTTCGTTCCACCCACTGGTATGAGGAATTCCAAATTCTGAAAAATTCCGTTACATAAAATTTAGTGTTTTTATCTTTATTAATTAACAGAAAATGATCTATAGAAAAAGTACCTTAATATGTTCGAAAGCTTTCATGATGACTGGTCTCTGGACAGATTGTATTGAAGAGTTCTGATTAACAAACTTAGCATAACGATTTAAGATCATTTCAAAATTTATCGGTTCGCTATCGTAAACTTCCGTTTCATGTTTCATAGCTATTATCTGTAAAAACCTTTATCTCATGAAATTTATAAAATGGTATTATAGAAGGTGTATATGTATATGAAATTTAAAAAAGAATAACTTACCAAACACATTTCTAGTACTGATAGTCCTTCCAGTAATATAACTTTGTCATCCTGGGTAAAGATTTTACTTGCCTCAACAAAATCATTCACTTCTAACTGAGGATGTATTTCAGATAGTGACGAAACTGCTAGAGAGAGGAAATTTCGAAAACTTCTTTCTCCAACATCCATTTGGTACATTCGTTTCAACAAGTTTATCACAGTAATATCATCAACCAAGCTCCTAATATACTCATTCCACATGGAACCAAACTGAGGATTAACCATACACTCCTCATATTGTTCGAAATGATTCACATTTTTATCATCAGGTAAACTTAAAAGATGGAAGAAGAGCTTGAGATGGTCATCAAAAGCAGAACTTGGTAGACCCAAATTATATGTATGACCAGGAAAAATAAAGATCTGACGATGCGAAAATCTTGACTTTACTCTTTTTTCTAGTAATTCAATCACATCGAGACGACATGTTATACCAACAATACATATTGGTGCCTGCTTTTCAAGAAACAAGAATATTCAATTTAATCATATTTCCACTGCTGAATAAGCCAATCTAATAATAAATAGTCATTATAGCACCTGAGCTGATTGGGCGACATCAAACAAATTATATAATAATGTTTGATTATGGTGAGCACAGAATAGGTCAAACTCATCTAATATAAATATAACTGGTTTTGAATGTTTCTTATCACCAGTTTTCAAACATTCTAATAAAAAACTCAAATTTTCAGCAAAAGTTCCAAAAACTTTATCACCGACAACATTCTCTAATTGCAATTGTCTCGTTGTATCCTTTAAAGCCAATCGGTCATCAGTATGAACCAATCCATGAAGATTCACAATGATTGCATTATCCTTAAAGGATTTCAGTACAGACAATTCTTTTAAAATACTATTTATCAACTAAAAATAACATTGTATTAATCACCATGTTAAAATTGTCATATTTTCTAATGCCTGAACTTACATATATATAATTACCATTGTTTTTCCACTACCTCTCGGGGCAATTAAGAGAGCAGAATTACTCTCTCCTGTTTCAACAGTTCGTTTTAACAAATCAAGTAAATGTAAACGTTCCTTAGCATGTCCTCGGAAATTAGTTTCTGAACACATTATCCTCTGTTTGAGGTATTTTCTAGTAAGAGTTACATTTTCTTGAAAGTTAATGGTCACATTCTTTTTTGTATTCATACTTAATTACCTGAAACAAATATCCTTGTTAGAGTATAATAATCAAAATTAAAATGTTCGGTAAATACTCACTTCAAACCAGAGATCAGTTAGGAGATTGGTCACGGGCCAGAGATGAGTTGGGAGATTGCTCACGAGCAGGGTCAGGCGATTGCATCCTGTGCTGCCCTCTGACAAAGAATTCAGAAGTCTCCATAGAAGCCCAAAAGTTTAAGGACGTTCGACGTTCGATAAATAGTATGTTAGCCAACGGTTGGCGGCGCTGTAACCATCTCTCCATCTCTCATAATCTTATGGCGATATATGAGCCCATAATTATGAAAGTGGTCTAAGTCAAAATTAAAAAAAATGAGTTTATCAGTTATTTCATCCCACATTATTTTAAACTAAATTAATTCAATGTAATTTTTACGATATTGTCAAAAATGAACTATTAGAGAGTGGTTGTAATTTCAACATTATATGGAAATCATTTAGTGTTGATTATGAAAGTGGTCTAAGTCAAAAATTTAAAGAAATTATATAAACATAACCTTAAAATGGCACGTGGCCCTCTTTGGCGCGTTTTTGAACTCCACGATAAGCCGACAAATGACAATCAAACGATAACGGAAACGACAATACTTTCCGGTCTACCTAACAATACATAGAATTCATTTAGTTCTATTTTGAAAGTGCATTAATTCAGTTGGGCTCTTTCAAACTAATTATTGGCGGAAAAATAATTTATATATTTTACCACTATGTCAACGGATAGCGGTTCAGGTAAGTTAATGACGACGTACTTTTTATGTGAATATGTTAATTATTATTCGGATATGATGTGATTTGCAGATATTATACGACCACGTAATACTTCTTTAGATGATTCTAAATTCCACGTTTTGGATCGTTTACCAAAAAGAGGAAGACCAAAAATATACGGAAATATTAAATTACTTCCATTACACCCCACCACTAACAACCGAATAACGAAAGAAAAAACATAAAGATATTATGTGTTTACTAACATACATCCCTCCAGTTTTTCTGGAACATTTTAAGAATCTTAAAAACTTATAATGGTAAAAGCCTAAAATGATAAAAAAGGATCTTTTTAAAAATAATTAATAAATGTTCATGAATTATTTCATTAAAATTATTGTTTCTAATAAAACTCGTAATTTTTTATTACTTTAAGTCATTTATAGGACATTCGGTTAATTTTGAAAATGGTCTAAGTCAATTCACACTTTAAAAACAACATTTTCGTATGAAATTCACCCAAAATTTCATATTCATAATAAATTTGCATTAATCAAGACTAATAAAATTCTAAATTAAAATGTTGCATAATATAAAAATATTTTTTAATTTATTCAAATGCAATTCATTAAATATCTCGAAACAAGAAATGTATGACGTAGACCACTTTCATAATTATGGGCACATATAGCGATTGAATTCTTTCTTTATCTTACATCCAATACTCACCTTTCTATATGCGTCTCTCTTCCTCCCGTACGTGAGATATCATTGGTTAACACGTGCGATCTCTCTTTAATCCCCACTTCTGGTTTGTTAGCCAACTTTCAGAGCATCAAGCGCTAACATAGGATCTGGGCTTCTATGGGACTTCTGAATTCTTTGCCTCCGGTTTCGTACGTTAGCTTTCACCGTTTTTGCCCCCAAGGGCGGCGCAATAAATTTCGGGTAGAGGCTCGGTAGAGTTCTAAATCCAGTAAGTTACGTCAGAAACGAAGAGAAATTCCCGGTAACTTATCGGTAATTTCTCCAAAGCCTATTTTATCGAGAAATTATGAGAATTTGAATTTTTCAATAGAGCGAACGAGTGGTTTCGATTAGCTATAGAGAAACATCGTAGAGGGGAATTTCCGTTGTATGTTCTCCGTAGCCAATCAAAACCTCCCATTCGCTTCGTCGCAGAATGAAATATCAGTTCATTTGAAACAAATCGCATGGAATTTTCCGTGAAGTTGTACATACGTGAATATTTTAAGCTGGAGGTAAATACGACCCTATAATCAATATTTTCTAATAGTAATTATTACTCTTTAGCTTGAACTTTGAAGTTGATTGAAAAAAAAAGTTATTTAAACGAAGAAACCTAAAGTATAAATAACAAAATTAACGTTCTCTTAAATTCTCAATGTTCCCGGTAACTTACGGTATGTTTCACAGTTACCTTCTCCAATTTAATATTACCGAGAATTTTCGAACTCTAAGGCTCGGGCACTCGCGATGACGGTGCCATCTACCAGTCGCCGTTGGCAGCTCACGGACTCGTGGTGGTAATACCATGCGGCCGTTGACGATAGTGGCTTACCTACACTTACCGACACTGCTTGCATTTGATGGTAAGGGAAAAACACTCGTGGCGCCATCTATGGCTTCACCCTTCACTTACCTTATTTATTTTATCCGCAAATGATACAGGCAAAATTACAATCTGGGTGCTCGAGGGTTGAGTTATACTTTATATACAATTTACATAAGTTACGGAAATTAATAACAAAAATTATGAATGTTTCCTAGGGAACACATAAAATCTAGATGGAAGGAGATACCCAACAACATAGCTCGGGGTAGTCGATATAACGTCAGATGTAACGTACGTGTCGCAAGTTATTTACAATTATAATAATTTGTAGTTTTCCTTCGACACCAGTGTTAATTTTCTTACGATACCAGTTTCAATTTTCGTTCGATACCAGTCTTAACATCCACTATTTTACGTTTGCAAATTATTAAATCTTTTTCCGATACCAGTTTTAACATTAACGCTTTTATAATTAACTTTTCTTGCGATACCAATTTTAACATTCTCTTATACTTTTGCAAAAAAATTAAATCTTCCGATATCAGTTTTAGCATCAACTTTTTTACTTTTGCAGATAATTCAATTTTCTTCCGATACCAATTTTAAATTCACCGTCTTTGGGTGACGGTATTAGGGATTTACAGGATTGATATGCCTGGTACGAACATTTTACTTAGGATCTCCGCAGGTCTCAAAATATGTGCAAGATATTGAGTGTGAGATCCAGTGAATAGAAGTTTTTAATCTTTCTCTGTCATTTCTGGAAAATGAAGATCAGTGGGTTTTAAGTTTTGAAACAGAACCTTTCACCTATTTCCAACGTTCCCCTTCAATCTCTATTATTAAAATTTGGTGCACTTTATTGCGACGTTACTTGCGAGAGTATTTCCTCGACAAAATCAGCATTTGAATTTAGTTATTTTCCAAATCTATTGTTTAAAAAGCGAAGTATAGAAAACACTAGCGTTAGAGGCCCAGGAGAAATGTTAGAAAATGGCGAAAGGTTCTGTTTAAGAAATTAACATTCACATATCTCCTTGATTTTCCAAAAATGAGAGAAAAATTTTTTAATTCACTGGATAATACACTCAATGCCTTGCACCCATTTTGTGATCTGCAGAGATCCTAAGTAAACTGCATTTACACGTATAAAGATGCGTGTAAGTAGCTTGATTAATAACGCAATAAAGAAAAAAAAAAATAAATAAAGTTATTAAATCGAAACTTAAAATTACATTTCCATCTTAAACTAGCGGCGCTATAAAGATACAAAGTTGACATTTGGCAAAAATTATTCATTAGTAGCAAGCTAATAACTAATTTATGCAAAATTGAATTTGGTGTAGGAACACTTTTCACATGCTTAAGGTGATATGAAAGGGTCATTCTATATATGTATATCAAAACGTCAAAACATTCATAAAACTTTTCACAATTGTCATAATTTCTATGTCAGGTGTGTTAAAACGGTTCACAGACATGGTCACTATTTTCGTAGGTTTTCTCTGATTGCAAAAATGAATCCACATTTGATACAATGTTTGTGCCAGAGGCTGTCATGGGCTTCAATAATTAACACAAGAATTGAGTTTAATTAAATATACATATTTAACAAATAATGTTCTTTCAAATATCCAGATAAATTAAACCAGATATGCTACAGAGAGATATAAGAATAAAAAAGAATAATAAAGTGATGTAACAATTTAAAGATATAAATATAGGTTATGTAAACTTACTTTAACATTCTTAGTAGTCACAATTTCAGCGTTAGGTGTGTTAAAACGGTTCACAGACATGATCACTATTTGCCTTTCCTTACTTAACGGAGTAGTTTTCAGCTGTTGCTTTTGGCTTGACTTATTATTTGCTGGTACCCACTGAACACTGTTACATAACTGTTAGGTAAATGTTACGTTTTCGAAGTTAACGTGTTATCTAGCATAAAAGTAACAATTGAAGGTACATGTTTGTTATTATTTCCCACTCAATAAGGTAACATGTTACGTAACAGGTTATATTAATGTTATAAGTTCAGTTACCTTGAAATAATATGAATTTTTCACACATTTAATGAAAAAATAAGGCAATTTTATATAAAAAATTATGTAATTTTTTTATTTTGTATTATTTTGTGGCACTTGGCAATAGTTAGGTATTATATAATAAATCAGACTTTAAATGAAATTATGTGAATGATAAACTATATGATTTTATTTAAAAACTATGATTTCATTCGACTCACAAACCATTACTGATAATGTGTATGCGAGTACGAAANATGATAAACTATCTGATTTTATTTAAAGACTATGATTTCATTTAACTAGCAAACAATTACTGATAATGTGTACGCGAGTACGAGTTAAAATCACATTTTTTCATACGAGTAATAATCAAAATATGACATATATTAATCTTATGACATTTGACGATGAATTATGACAATGACGATGACGATGATGTAATAAAATAGATGACAGCACCAATGTAGTTCTGTTTTGTTGCAAATATGTACTGCATATACACAGTAATATCAGGACAGTAATATAATGTAAGATAAGAATAACAAAGTTACGCTACATTTATATAGATATGATAGTTACAAATGTTATGTAACCTGTAGGCTCCATGTTACATAACTGTTAAGTTACTGCATTGTAACAAATGTCATGTAACTAGTTAACTCTATATTACGTAACTGTTAGGTTATTACATTGTAACAAACGTTGTTATTCGTTAGTTTCAAGTTACGTAACTGTTAAGTTTGGGGTTCAGTGGGTAGTTTGCTAATCTTTT